GAGAATAAAGTCCCCAGAAGTCACAATAATGAGGACAATAAAAAAGTTTATTTGGTATATTCAATATTAAATGTATTTTGTTTTAAACAGGTCAAATCATGTTCTGACTTAAAAGAGTCAGTCCAAAACTAAAATAAATTTATTGAAATATTTAAGCCGGGCATTGCAGGGCTTAAAGGAAGTACACCTAGCTTTGATTGGAAATTTTGTTCTGCAAATTGACTTAAACAGGTCAAGTCATGTTCTGACTTTAAAAAATCAGTCAAAAACTAAATTTATTGAAATTATTAAGTCAGGCATTGCCATTTGATATTAATGATAATGTATGGAAAAATCAATTAATAAACTCAACAGTGGCAGATTCAGAAGGGGGCTAAGAGGAAGAACACATAGCTTTGATTGGAAATTTTGTTCTGCAAATTGACTCAAACAGGTCAAATCATGTTCTGACTTAAAAGAGTCCGTCAAAAACTAAATGGATATGCATAAAATCTGGTTCATAATTTTTGAAAAGATGGAGAGATTAATGAGTCTATATTTTGTTTTTCCGACTCACAAATGTCACTATGTGACAAATTTCGGGAATTTTTCTCTTCTTTTGACTGATTCCTATATGTTGTATGGGTGCCATAACTATCACTACAACATGTACAAAGTCAGCACATTCTAAGGGACGCCATCAAAAGACCAATGTAGGATAAAAAAACTTAAATCAAATAGTTTGGGGGTGGGGGTGGGGTTAAAGTTGCTGCAAGTTTTGTTTATCCAAAATCGATTTTACATAAATCCATATTGGTCAATCAATCTTTCCCAAATTAAGTTAAGAGGGGGGGGGGGGGGGTCAGTGAAAAAACTATGTGATGTGAATTAAGTTTTTTATCCTATACTGAACTTTTGATGTCGTCCCTAATGACTTGACCTATTACAGTATTTCTGTTTGAATTTTTTATCAATATTCTGTATTTACAAATTTAACTACATGTATGTTATTGCAAGTGTATTAATTAGCTTTGTTTATTACTTATATTAAACTAAACCTCTATTAATCAATTATCTTTACTCTGGTTATTGATTATATAAGAAAAACTCTGCCTATTACTATATGACTGTAATCTAAACTCTGATTGTTAACATCCTGGATTGCATATCTGCATGACCATTAAACTCATGGTATACCCATTTTATTTGAGGATATAAAAGTATTGTTTTTTCAATATAACATTTTCAGACACATTGAATCTGTGAAGACAACTTTCAATTTGACATTAGAAATTAAAGAGTTTGTAAGCAAAATGTTGGGGAAATTTAATTATAATTAAGAATGTTTAAAATTAGTTAAGAAAAAAGCCGACATTAATAATGTTAAAAAAAATTTGAGGAGAAAAAACATACAAATTCAGACCAAATATGGTGACTTTGTTGTCCTTCAAGAAGCCGTACATATAATCCATAATATTTTCACTGTTTTTTAAATACATGTAAAAGTTGAAAGATAACTATCTATTGATTTTTTTTTAAATAGCTTTTTTCACAACACTTATAACTTTGTAATTTATGTTCCATTGTACACTTGTTATTCTTAATATCTTTAAAAATTGTTGTTTGGGAACAAAATCTTGTCAGGGTTTCTTATGGTACTAGCATGACAAGTGCATTCATATTCTAAAATACTCTAAACATTAAAAAAAGTCAGTATTTTCAGATCATTCTGAGTCTTTCTGACCTTATTAAGTCAGAACATTCAGACTTTTATAAGTCAGAACATTCAGACTTTTATAAGTCAGAACATTCAGACTTTTATAAGTCAGAACATTCTGACTTCCAATGTTCTTCTCACTTCTGTAGAAACAAAGACTATCTATGTCTCAAATAAGAGGTAAATGCTTCATGTGGCTAAGCATCTGGGGTAAGAATTATAGATGTGTAATTTCAGAGGAAAACAAATATGCCAAAATTTTTTTTTTTTTCATATAGATTAGACCGTTGGTTTTTCCGTTTGAATGGTTTTACACTAGTAATTTTTTGAGGCCCTTTATAGCTTGCTGTTCGGTGTGAGCCAATGCTCCGTGTTGAAGGCCGTACCTTGACCTATAATGGTTTACTTTTATAAATGGTAACTTGGATGGAGAGTTGTCTCATTGGCACTCATACCACATCTTCCTATATCAATGTAATTAATAAGATGTGATGCATGCGAGAGGAAAATAATACTGAATAGACAATTCTGTTTGCACAAACACTGATAAATATAATATATTAAGGTGGTCTCTCAGCAGATTAAAATAAACAAGAAATAATTGTAACAGGATGCTGTTACGAAGTCTCCCAAACAAATTTAAGCTCCCATAATTCGTCATTCCCATGGTTGCCTGACATTGGGCAAGTTCCTGTACAAATTGGTTTTGTCTAGTAAAGTGATATGCATAAGTGACGCCTAGGGTTTGACCCTGCATGTCATTCAAATCTTCTTGAAATGACGAACAGGAATATCATATGGTTTACCTTTAGGGGTGGTGATCCAGAACATTTCAAAAAGGGGGATGGGGATGACCCCAATGGACTTCCCCTATATTTCATTTGATTTGTTTTATTGTCCTGTGCAAGAATGTATATGGTGTAGGGGTGGGGATCTCGACCGTTTACAAGTTTTCAAACATGAGGGGGTGGGGTGACCCTCAGGGACTCCACCTTTATTTCATTTGATTTGTCTTATTGACCCTTACAAGAATATATATGGTTAAGGGGTGGGGATCCCGACCATTTACAAGTTTTCACACAGGAGGGGGTGGGGGTGACCCCAAGGGACTTCCCCTATACTTCATTTGATTTGTTTTATTGTCCTATTCAAGGAATTGTATATTTAAATATATAATTCCTTGTCCTATTCAAGAAAATATATGGTTTAGAGGTGGGGATCTCGACCGTTTACAAGTTTTCAAACAGGAGGGGTAGGGGTGACCCCCAGGGACCTCCCCAACATATCATTTGATTTGTTAAATTGTCCCATACAAGAATATATATGGTTTAGGGGTGGGGATCTCTACCGTTTACAAAATATAAGAACATTTGCAAATGGCAGGGGGTGGGGTAAACCTGGAGACTAGCCCGGTATATTTCATTATAAAGAGGAATAGAGAAATGACAGGGATAGGGGTGATCCCTGGAGACGCCCTACATTTCATTTGATTTGTTTTATCATGTCCCATGATCATAAATGAAGACCAGGTGTGTGCATCACTTATTGTTCTCAAGTTATAACTTTAAAAATAAAAAATAAAACCCTTAGGTTCTTTAGTTAAACCCCTCCCTTCCTTTTTCTTTTATTAAAATTTTTCCCATTTTCGTTTCATTATCATCATATTAATATTCACAATGATCGTTTTTCTCATAGGGAGAAACGAATCAGAAAGGTTAAAAAATCAGTTCGTGATTGAGTTTAAAAATAGAAAAATCACGTGACGATGTTCAGCTCGAAGCAATAATTTTACTTTTTAATTTGCACTGACTGGTTAATAATGTTAATATTGTTTAAGACAACACGAGTTATCTCCCGAAAATAACAATTCATTATCATAACAACATTTTCTGACCTGAACAAGTCAGAATTGTCAAACACCAGGTCATCTAAAAGACCACGCGTCCGTATTTACAGGTCGCGCGCCTTCATGAAACAGCAAAAAAATCACTTGCAAGGAACTTCTTTATAGGCAAAAAATATAAAAATGCCCATGAAAATACGGAGGTAATATGAATTACCTTTCTAAAAATGCCCACAATGACCTAGATTTTCACTAAAAATCGTAAATAATCAATATAATATTCAATTACTTCTCGTTCGAGACACTTCCAAAACAACGACTCTCAAACACGTGATCTCTTGCAAAAAACCACGTGATCGTATGTGTCGTAGATCGGCGGCAAATTCAAAATAACTTCTGGTTTGACGGACTCGAGTGAAAACTACGCAAAACAAAAATTGACGCGTACAGGTCAGAATTTCAAAACACTTTCTGACTTGAAGAAGTCATTTTATTCTGACTTGTTTATGTCAGAGCTCTGACTGCTGATCTGAGTCCTAATCTCCTGACCAAAATTTCCCAATCTCCTGATCTGAGTTTCACAGTCCATCACATGTATGTTTGGAATTCTGAGTCAAACACATCCAAAGTTATAAATTTTTCACCCAAAGAAAAATTGGTTAATGGGAACATAACTTCTTTCAGGGTTCGAAGTAAAAGTGACAGTAATATCCGAGAAATAAGCAACAAAACCAAAGTCTGTTCAAGTTTTAATAAATCTAAATGTAACGTAACACTAAGGCAATGTACATGTAACTGCAGACACAAATATTATTGTTTTATCCTTAATTAATCGGTTCCTAACCCGACCTTGCATTCTGGCAATTAGTTTTAAATGTAACAATAATTTTTCATTATTGTTACGTTTTCAGCGTAATCCTAGCCAGTCCCTAAAAATAAGGGTAAATGCACTCTGTGCACAATGTCAAAAAACCGAAGTGTGGGCAAATGGACCCAGGGCAAAACAGTTAAAATAATTATGACGTCTTGAAAGGCATTTTTCAATTTTTTGCTGTGATGCCTACCTCCCTTCCTATGCAAGTATGAAGTCACAGGAAGGAGTCACAACAAAAAATTCACATAGCCTTTCAGTTTCAAGACGTCTTAATTATTTGACGTAGCCGAAGGGCAAAAGTGTTATCTTGGTGAACGGACTCAACCATTATCATTATATCTGCTCGTCACATAAACCTGCATATCCTATGACGTTATGACAAGGAAATGAACGTACTTACAGGACAATTTGAACAAAAAATGTTCTGGCAGAGAGAAATTTTTATGTCACTGCAGTCAGTGGTGGACCTAGCTACCTGCAGTCTGCACAGTTAACAACTTTTGCCGTCATGCAAAACAAAAATTGTGTCGACATCCAAAATAAAACAAATTAAGTTGATGAATGAAAGGTCTTATATATCAAATTACCATGTTTTACATGTATTAATTTCTATTAAAACGGTTATACTTTCCCGGCACAAATTCGTCTTCTGCAACTACCGGAAGTGAAAGTAATATCTTACGGAAGCGAGACAATTCGCCCCACTGCCAAATCGCCCTAGAAAAATTCGCCCCACTTTCTACCAACTCGCCCACTAACAAAAAGAAGTCATACCCTACTAAATAAAGGCATACCAATTCCCCCCCTCTTTCTTACGATAAAGTGATCATTCGAATGTACAACCAACGCAGAAGGATTGGTTGATTGATAGGTGTTTGCTTTGCGTCCAGTGGGGAAATCAGCCGGAAATTTAGCAATGGGATTTAACAATCTATTACAGAAGGTGGAAAATGAACAGGAACATATCATTGAAGATTTGTCTTTGGAACTTTGGTCTAACTAAGAAGCGGCAATATGGGACAAGAAGCGCCAAGAAGACGTATTTAGCGCCAAGATATCTAACTATTGATTAGTTAAAATACCATCTAAAATAGATATATAGAAGCATGTATTTAAATGCATTTTGAATACACGTATTAAATTTATTTTTCAGTATACAAGAGAAATGAATCAAGATGTATGTAGAGTCAGCACGGTTTAACTTCTCTTCTCTTCAATGGTTCAAACCAAATTATCAAATTACGGTAATAAGTACTATAACAGCTAGTACACATAATGCATTGGCGGATCATCATAAAAGGGGGGGGGGTGTTCCGGGGGTTGGACCCACTCTTTTTCCTCGATTTTTATTCTATTATTTTTGATTATATGAACGTCTCATGGTGTTCCTGGGCTTTGACCCCCCCCCCCCCCCCCTTTTTTTTCAAAATGACTGGATCCGCGCATGTGAAACAATACGGTACGCGTGTCCTGTCCCCAGTTTAATTACTAAAATAACATCCAACCAGTACGTTTAAACGGTAGTACACGCGCCAGAATATACAATCATCGTTACTTTTTAGGTAAATAGTGAACACGTGTTGTTGAAAACTCAACAATTAAATCATTGTAAACCAATGTCTTTAATCATTTTTAATCTTCAATCAACATACATTATATTTAAATTTCTTTCAACTATTTTATTTATTTGAGGTCATTGAAAATCACATATTATATGTCTTTGTTAGCTGGACAAATGGCACCATCGGCACACAAAGGCCGCGAATGCATCATCTTGATGCAGTTTTATCTTTACACTTTAATGTTTAAGTTCATGTACAATAATCATGATTAAAGCTGTATACCAATACATCTGTCCGTTTTCTCACAATAATGCTAACGGTACGTAATTTAAAATATCTTCCGTTAAATCAAACTCCGTTACGAATGCAAAATAATAATGTATTCAGTAACATGAGCAATCTAATTAAAATATAGATCTCGGATTTCGTTATACTACGTTATACTAAGTATAACGAAATCCGAGATCTATATTTTAATTAGATTGTAACATGATTAACTTAAAATTCACCCATCTTTCAAAATTCTTAATTCTATTTTTGACTTTACTATATTGTATAAATGATTTCTATGCAATACTCGAAACCCTGTATATTTAGAATTAACAGAAAATCGAAGCATTGTTTAAATAGAAATAACACTAGAAACTTTAAGAAAAAATAAAAAATAATCAACTGTGATTTATTGACTTTTTTGTATAAATTTATTTGTTTTATTATTATATTAAACTTTGTTGACGCCAAATTATCAAATATCTTCAGAAGTCCATTACTTGTAATGAACTTTCATTTCTTTTTATTACTTTTTTTGTTATAAAGATTTATTTTTTAGAATTTTTTTTCTAAAATTCAGCTATCTTTTTCTATAGTAGTTGACGAGGACCCTGTAGTTACCGTCACGTACCTATGATTTTATTCAGTAACGGACGTGTTGCATAAGTACGACATACGACTATAACTTTCTGATACAAATACTTTTATTCAAATTTTACAAAATTGGTTTTATTTGATCGACTTAAAACAATGAAATACCGTTTTTTGTTTTTGTTTGAAGCTTTTAACACAACCTGGCCGAAGATGCAAGAGCGGGGATATGACTTCAACACTTTATGACGTCCTCGATTTAAGGAAATTTACCGTTTTCAGACAAAGTCATATCAAAGCTCCTCTAATAAAATTTGTATAAAATTGAGAATGGAAATGGGGAATGTGTCAAAGAGACAACAACCCGACCATAGAGCAGACAACAGCCGAAGGCCACCAATGGGTCTTCAATGCAGCGAGAAACTCCCGCACCCGGAGGCGTCCTTCAGCTGGCCCCTAATCAAATATGTATACTAGTTCAGTGATAATGGACGTCATACTAAACTCCAAATTATACACATGAAACTAAAATTAAAAATGATACAAGACTAACAAAGGCCAGAGGCTCCTGACTTGGGACAGGCGCAAAAATGCGGCTCAGGGTTAAACATGTTTTTTGAGATCTCAACCCTCCCCCTATACCTCTAGCCAATGTAGAAAAAACAAACGTGCAACAGTACGCACAGTAAAACTCAGTTTAAGAGAAGTCCGAGTCCGATGTCATAATAGGAAACAAAAGAAAATAAACAAAATGACAATAATACATAAATTGTGTTTGTTCTCAAAAGAATATTTATCAATTTAGAAATAAAATTATATGCTCCTCTTCAATGCAGCGTAACTCAATTGTTAATTTCAAATGGCATACATGTATGATCAGTTTAGATTCTGCAAAAGGAAGAAAAGATTCGGAATTTATGGACGGAATGATGATATTTTTGGTTCACTTGACAAACCATCTTCAAATAAAGTAAAATATGACATAAATGTTCAAACTAATAGGATAATTTAGTAGCTTTTTTCATAACTGACGTTAAGTTGTCTTTGTACCCATAAAAGTTTACAAAAAATAGTAACCTGATATTTGTTGTTTATAGTAGTGATATATATGGCGTTCGAGCCCCCAAACCCTGCCGGGACACTGGACGCGGACGCCACACCCTAGATCTGGTTCAGGACTTGAGACCTGCTAAACATACATGTAGGTGGTTTAAGATTTATTTATTTATTTTTCTATTTTTTTTTTTTTTTTTTTTGTATTATTATTTTTGTTTAACCAAATATGGCTACGAGTTTGCTGTCATTCTTAATCAAGCCAGTGAAAGAAAAGTCGTTTAAAATGTCCTCAATCTTGAGTCACCGACATCTCAATTTGACGTAATAAATGCAATACAGGCCACAGGTATCTGAATCATCGGGTTGAATTTGATTGCTGACAACACAGTTTTGCGGTCCATTAACGATGAGTACATTTCTAAAATAGTGTTGGTTCGTTTCCGGTAATTGTCCTAAGGAGTAAAAAAATTCGGGTGGACCCGATGCGGGAAAATGAAAAGCAACCCAATGACTACCCTTTTGAGCACAGTTGTCTGTATTGACCACAAACGTTCAAAGCCTGTCGCTCACATAGCTAGGCAAGTCGTCGGCACAGCAAACGGTCACGGGTAATCCGCTCAAAGTATCCTCTTTGTCCTTCCCGGTCATCGAGAGAGTAATGACGTTTTTCTTCTCACACTCTTGCCGATTATGGGCTTCCAATATACGAATGTGAGCAAACACTACTCCGCAATCCCGACATGCTATGAGATCTTCTTGTATCTCAGAATCTTCAGAAGAAATAGGTGAGTTTTTTGTCCTGTCGGCAATGTCTTCTTCTGATGAGACCGATATATCGTCTTCAAATGTATCGGAGAGATGGTCGTCCTCCATCTTTCCGTCTTGTGTCGCGGAATCTCCTTTGCCGATATGTAAGACCTCCGTGCGCAATCTGGATGATTCCGGGGTTCTAGCATTAAGGTCAACAAGAAGTTGCCCGAAATGTTTCTTCGTTGCCAGAGGTGGATTTAGGTGGGGGGGTCCAGGGGGCCCTGGCCCCCCTTTTCTGGGAAAAAAATGGTTGATTATATAGGGAATCACCGAAGCTTGACCGGAGCGGGCCCCCTCTTAGGCAGTCAGTGGGCCCCCACTTATGAAAATTTCTGGATCCGCCACTGGTTGCCTCTTCGAATAGCCAGATAAAGAAGTCCGCTCGAGAAGGATACATCTGTCGGCCAAGAGTAATGATTGGCTGTCGATCAATTGGGTTATTTAAGAGAACGAGATAATGACAGTTTCGTCTCTGGGTTGGGTCTTTGCCAAAGTATAAATTCTGATTTAAAACGGCTACCGATAAATTTCTATGGTGACTACCTTCCGTAAACAAATCATTTTTTCTTGAGTCTTTGGCCGATGTCGACATGAGGTCGTCTAAAATGATCATGTTTCGAATGTTTGGATCGAAAAGGTCGTCACCTCGGTCGTCACTCTCGAGATCGAAAGGAATTCCACGAATGAATTCAACGCGTGGAAGTACTGTTCGTCGTATTTCCTCGTTTAAACAACCAAGCGATCCTTTCTGGACCAGGACTACACAACCTTTTTATTTGTTGAAGCATATTTTTTTATGAAATGAGTTTTTCCGCAGGATGTTGGACCGGACACGATCATGGTGAAAGGGTGTCTAAACACGAAAGCTTCCTGCTGCTGTTGTTGCAGCAACTGCTGCTGCTGATCTAGATCTTGGTGGTATTTTTGCTCATTGGAAGAATGCTTACTTCTCATATGTCGTCGAAGATCGTGCGGCCACACATACACGTTACGACAAAGATTGCAATTATACATATTCATATTTTCCCTAATTAGAGTGTGTAGTTTCTCGAATAGATTTTTTACTTCACTTCCTTCGAAAGTGTAGCAAGAGAAATACGTGGTCATCTTTTAGACGACATATTTGCAGATTATCGTCTCTCTAAACAAATTCGACGTGATATAATTCGTTCCTGTTTGCTGTGAAATAGTAACGTCCTTTATTTATTTTACTGGTGTCTTCAACGGTTCATTCCTCCTATTCCCACTTTTTATAAATCTGGTAAGAAAAGTTAAAATTTCATGTGGGAATAGGGGGAAAACTTGTGCAAACAAAGGATTATACTGTATAAACATTGTTTAATCAACTTTTAATTGACAAGTGTTTTTTGGATCGG